AAAGCTTAATATTATAATCACTTTTATCAGGTTAACTAAAGGGTTCATCTCATCACAAAGTTTTCAGCCTGACAATAGCAGTGGAGCAAACACCGAGTTGCCAAGTGTCCGAGCAATGTCATGGTTTGAACGCAATCTATTCATAAAGCCAGGGCTTTCGAGTTTTCTCTATAACCAATTGCCTTAGCGGAATAGCTCAGTTTTTACGGATTTAATTTCTTAAGATTGTCAAGAAGAACCTGTTATAGCCTAGGTGTTGTTAAAAGTTAAAGAATCTCATCTTTAGAGTTCAATTTTCAAGCAACTGACCTAAACTAGATTCACTTACTCGACTATTCCATCTGTAAAGATAATGATCATCATTAAACGTCTTAAATAAAAAGCATAGTAATGTCATATGCAAATGATGTTCCATGTTGTCCGCACCTTATGAAAGGAAAATGTTATATTGGTTAATTGCAAGAGCAAGGTACAGTGTTTGAGTGTATATTCTGGGTAATGTCAAAGTCCTTGTTTTAAATCATGTTACTTCGTCAAAGATCTGTAACTTTGAACCATTTACAGAGTTTCTTAATTCAAATGATATTCAAAGAATTGCAAGTTTGCAAATGTGATTCATTGCTTAACATTAAAGTAACATAAATTTCTTTAAAAGTCCTTACAAAAACTTGAGAAAAAAATGAAAAAAAACAAATTCAAACAGAATGCCTCAAATGATGAAGTGATCTTCCTCACTTGGATACCCCCAAGTTGTTGAATTCGATCCAGTCCTGGTTACGCATCTTCTGTACGACTCTCTTGAATGCGTAGTAGTTCTCGATAGTGCGCCCTGGGACACCGCTATGATATTCGCAATGAGCGTTCTCATCATACTACCTGGGGTACGGGGCTTCATGGATTTCTCTAGATATGGTGACACCACATGTGCGTCAAACAACTGTTGGTAAAGCTCCTTATATGTCATAGGATCGAAATGTTCTCATTTTTTATGAGACATGTGAATGTAATAAAAAAGAGAAAAGTAATGCGAAATATGCAGGAATGTATGATGCATGCAATGTTCGAGGCATTGATCCAAAAAATATGTATGTTATTAGAAATAATCCTTATTGAAGAAAAAAATGTTTTATCTTTTAAGAGACAAAAATATCCTAACAACTTCTGAAATGTTAACTAGTCTTCTGCCTTCGTCTGTCACCATTTGAATAACCTGTCGAACCGTTATGGCTTCTCTTAATGAACCGTGCAAATGTTGAGTTACTTTTTGTACTGGCCCAAGAAGTCTCGAATGACTATATTTCTGGCATTTATCTTTTGTTGAACCTATTCCCAACGAAAACGTCATTGGAGCCCTTAATTGATAGGAACTATATGAAGTTCATTTGTCTATTTCTTGAATTCGTCAGCAATGGTCTCCAATTTCAGCTATCGTTTTGCCATTGTTGTCTTTGAAGGGACTCCCAAGATCAGTAGCCTTCATCTTGCCCCTGCAACCTCTGCTAGTCAGTTCTTCAAAGATAGACTTTCATTGTGCTTGATATAGAACCGGTTCATTCTGAGTCCTTTATAATGTAGCAGAGTGATATACTCTTCAATTGTGGGCACCACGTCTTCTGGATTAAATGTGACACATAGTCGTCTTGTAGATTTTCCTTTGCATTTTCATCTCTTGTATTACAACCCTTTTGTCCATTAATGCAAATTATTTATGTTTAAAAAACATGTTTTTGGTGGATCAACACCTCTTTTAAATGATGATAATGATGAGAACAAAATGAGAGAACAAAAAATAAAAAGAGTTAGTGAGGTAAATCAAAACAATAAAAAATGAAAAATCCTACCCCACATGATATCTACCCCACATGCTTATTATTCCTACCCGAACATGATCTCTATCCCGCATGTTAATTTCAAACAAATCCTAACCGCATATTTGTCTAGTTCGCATGCTTTGAACAGAAAGTAAAGCAGGAAATAAATCAGGCATCTTAGGGTTTGAAATGAGGTTTTGGGGTGGGCTCTAATTCTCCATAATCTCCCGGTTTAGGTTCTAAAAAATGATACCCGAGTTCTCCTTGTCGGTGCCCCCTTGGGCTTGCCAGACCCTTAGTCCTAAACCCATCACAGGCTTGTGTGGACTAAGTTAAACTCGAGAGGACACATTCCCTTATGCCCGCACGGTGAATAAATTCACACGAAGACATAAGGTATATGAATCCCGAAGGCTACTTGCTAGGCCCGCACGGTGAATAAATTCACACGAAGACGTTGTTTTCACCCTCACTTAAATAGGGTTCAGAGCTCGGGTATAGAGCATGAGATGAAAAACTTTTCAAAAATATGAAATCATTAAAAAAAAGTCAGTACAACTATTTATTTGAAAAATAATCAAAGGTAGATAATTAGAATCGAATAAATAAATTAAAATTAAAATTTATTATTTCCGTATAAAAAGACAACCGAAAATTAATTCTGGCCTGACACACTTACCTGTCCCCAGCAGAGTCGCCAAGCCGTCAGAACCGTCTTTCGGTTGGACCCGGAATTGGGCTTTGACTTGAATAATTGGGTTAGAGTCGCCACCGATCATTTAAAAAATATTTAGGCTGATCGGACACCATTTTACCTGATCTGCGTTTTACCAGAAATGTGTCGGGTTCGGGAGTCGATTACGGTCAAAGAAGGATTAGCACCCTTGAACCGCCCTTTCGGTACCAATTAATTTGTCGGTTGTCTTAAATTGCGAAAATTAAAATTAAAATTTAAAAATTTGATTCGAATTAATTACCTTTGATCGATTGAAAATATCCCTAGAAAGTAAAAAATGTTAGATTATAGAAAAATAGAAATAAAAATGAAAAAAGGAAAAAATATTAATATACTAATAATAACAAAATAAATATAATAGATAACAAAGATAAATAAAAGTTAGTAAAAAAGGAAAAAATAATAAAATAATAATACAATAAAATAAAATTAAAAAAAAGCAAATACACGTGGGTTACATACAAATGGGTTAGCTATTAAAACATGGTCCCATTTATAATATATTTAAAAGCTAGTGGATAGTAACCCTATCATATGTATGGAGGTATGGAATACCTTTCTGGACAAATTGGACAAATCGAACCTTGCACAGCTTAAACTTGCTGCGCTGGAATTTGAGCTGGGTGACATCCTGGTTTGTGGGTTTCCCATACACAATACCTTTGGGTACTGGTCTCTTCCTACCACCCCATCTCACACGAACACGATAGACAACATAACCCTGCTTGGCTTTGTATCCCAAGCGACGGGCCTTGTCGGGTGGTTAACTCACACAATTGCAAGATGTTGACGATACTCCCAGTCCCAGCACCTGACTCTCTGCAAGAACCTCATCACATCGGATTGCTTCCTCCTTCCTAGCTCTGACACGTACTTGTAAGCTCATTCGAAAAGTTTCAGGTTCAATGACTGCTTGAACTCTTTGACACACTTTTTCACAATCTTCTTGGACAACAGAGGGACTGCCATTTCTTCCTTGAACAAAGACTCGCCGCTGCTTGTGGAAAACCGACCAAGCTTCTCCTCACTCCATTATCCATCGGAGGGTTACCAGCTTCAAGTTCACGACAACTGCTTCCTCACGTGCGAACCATTTTTGAAGTTGAGAATATAGTTTGGAGGTGGAAAAATGAAAGCTTTGAGGTAGACGATGAAAAGAGGTGGAAGCTTTCTGGTTTTGCAGTGTGGTTACAGAAGTGTAACAATGGTGAATAGAGAAAATGAAGAGGGTGGAGTTGATCCAAGCAAGGCCCCATCCATCATTAGATTGCATTGAACTACCCTTTTTTCGTTTGTACCCCCTCCTGTTGTTGGCGGATAAAGCTACATATAAAGAATTCCAATGGTTCTGGTGGACAACACATTCATCTACGACCCGGGAATCACGAAATAACGAAACCACGAAGTCCTGCAAGCAACGATTCCCATGGAATCCGGACTAAGTTGCACAGTTCCAAGGCTTTTCCAAGGACATATCTTTTAATCAAAAAAAGAAAGTAAGATAGTGGGGTTGTTGGGTAGTTTGTTGGAAATGTCCATGCAAAATAATAAAAAATTTAATAATAATAATAAAATATATATATTTTAAATCCGGTTAAAAACATGTGTCTATAATATGACATGGTTATTTTATCATTATATTAATATTACATATGATTATAATAAAAATAAATTTAAAATTTTTAAATTATATATCAAACCCCTAAATTCCCAAATTAAAATCACACCTCAACTTTCCCTTGATATCCACACCTCCACTTGGGCACGATGAGCCATCGTCCGTCGGTGGGAGGATAAGGCTGTCTATGGTAGGGATTATAATATGGGGTTTAAGGTTTAGAATATAATTTGAGAATTTAAGATGTGAGTGTATAATTTAAAAGAAAATTTTATTTTTTTTATTATAATCCTATTTAATATTAAAATAATAATAAAATATGACATGTTATCATTGAGGAGAAAAATTCAATGTATAAAATTTAATAAGTAAATTGAAATAGAAGATATAATAAGGTTGAGAACGTATAATTTAGCTAAATTAAAAGAATAATCAATATTAAATAGTGTGGGGTCCATTGATGGGACCCAGGGGCATGCATGTTGATCACGCGTCTTTAGAACGTTAGTGTTGAGTAAGGTAAGAAATCTGCCATTTAATTTTTATTGATTCTATATAATAAAAATAATATTATTATCATTATATAAAAATATTTTTATTACTAGTACTTTTTATGAAAGTTTTTTTTTTTTGAAATTAAGTTTTTAAATTGTTAATTATATAGAAACCGGCCATCTTGAATAGGAAATAAGAGCCGCTCTTCCTTGTCGTATTCCGTTTCTCTCTCTCTCTCTCATAATTTTACGACGCAAATCTCCATAAATCTTCCATCTTGAAGTACTTGTATCTCATCCCATCTCGTTCAAATCCCATTTGTTTTTAATTATAACGAAGAAAAACTACTGACTGTGCATCATGGATGTGTCTCTGTCTCTTTTGATTCACATTGCTCTGCTTTCAAGCCTCTGTTTTGCTGAAGACGCTTATGTCTTCTATGATTTTAAACTATCTTACATCACTGTCTCCCCTCTTGGTGTTCCTCAACAGGTTACTTTTCACAACTCTCCTTTTTTCTTTTCTGGGATGCTTCTGCTTCTGCTTTTAATATATTGTATTTATGCTTTCTGCAATAAAAAAGTTGTTTTCTAAGCCAAATTTTCGTTACGTTTAGTGTAACTTCCACTTTATTGTGTACAGTTTAAAGGGCTGGGATTCAAAATCAATTTCTCAAGTATATCGCAGGGTCCAGATCGATACTTATTTTGATTTACTGTTTTCAATCTTCATCTGTTCTTCTCTTTGTTTCAAATGTTTGGTTTAGAGTCTCAATTAGTAATAATCGTACAAAATTTTCGATTATTGCCAATCAGGGTGGTAAACTTGGTCAAATCGGAGGCCAGGATATGAAGATGAAATGTTCAATTTACCGTATGATTCCTTCTTTGATTTCCAGGTTATAGCAGTTAATGGGGCATTCCCTGGTCAAGTTCTTAATGCCACAACTAACGACAATGTGGCTATTAACGTTCACAATCAGTTGGACGAGAATCTTTTGATGTCTTGGTAGGGTTTAAGATCGAAATTTTGCTCGTCGTTTCCTTTGGTGATTATTTGTTGTCATCGTTTGAAAGGGGTTTCTGGAAATTTCTGAATAATGTCTTCTACAGGCCAGGCATTCAAATGCGGCGAAATTCGTGGCAAGATGGTGTTCTAGGTACTAATTGTCCAGTTCAACCCAAAAAGAATTTTACTTACCAATTTCAAGTTAAGGATCAGATTGGGAGCTTTTTCTACTTTCCTTCGCTCAATTTTCAAAGAGCATCTGGTGGATTTGGTCCCATAATTATCAATAACCGTAATGTTATAAGAATTCCTTTTGCACCACCGGATGGTGACATTGTCATATTGATTTGTGACTGGTATACTCAGAACCATACGGTTAGTAACTAATGAAGAGCCGGAATTTTGGTATTTTTCCTTTTTGTTCATCACCGTTGTTGATTTTGCAGTTCATGTTCAGTAATTGATACACTCTTCTTTCAGGCATTGAGAACAACTCTCGACTCTGGTGGAGAGCTAGGGATGCCTGATGGAGTTCTCATCAATGGGAAGGGACCTTACCGATATAACACAACTCTTGTACCTGATGGCATTCCATATGAAAGCATTAATGTTGATCCAGGTATGCATTTCTTTGTCCATAATGGTAAAAAGTTTTGTAGGTGATTTTCTTTATATTTCAAGCATGTCATTTTGTTTTTTTTTATGATCTGGATATGTATAATATCATAAGAATAGTCTAATTTTTTTAGGATGATTTGAATTAAATATTAGTATAACCTTTTTTCCATTGGCATTCCTTTAATTAAGTTATGGTAATTTTTCATGTTTGACATCCGCATTCAGTTATAATGTTTCATCCAACATTATTTTGTCAAGTTCTGATCTGCAATGAAAAAATGGTTTGCAGGAAAAACTTATCGATTTCGTGTGCATAATGTTGGGATATCTACTAGTTTGAATTTTAGAATTCAAGGCCACAATCTGCTCTTAGTGGAAACTGAGGGACATTATACGATCCAGCAGAATTTCTCCAGCTTTGATATTCATATGGGACAGTCCTATTCATTTTTAGTTACCATGGATCAGAATGCAACTACAGATTACTACATAGTGGCTAGTGCTAGGTATGTGAATGAATCTGTTTGGGAAAGAGTAACTGGTGTGGCCATCTTGCATTATTCCAATTCGGGGGGACCAGCAACGGGCCCTTTGCCTGTTCCACCAAGCGATATTTACAACCAATGGTCAGCAATGAGCCAGCCTAAGTCCATCAGGTTTGTGCTCAAATATCCTTATCTTCCTTTCCTTTTGAAACTAGCAACCAGCTCTCATTAAAAGTTAGTCTCTGACAATAGTCATATATGTATTACAACAACTCTTCATATTCAACCTGTTGAAAGTTTCCCTGTAGGAAACTTCCCTGATTTTTATCCCAATTTAAACTCTCTTTTTTCAAATGATCAGGCAGAATACTAGTGCAAGTGGAGCTCGTCCGAATCCGCAAGGTTCTTTTCACTATGGTTCTATTAATGTGACTGACACATATGTGTTACAGAGCTTGCCCCCACTTATGATTGATGGGAAGCTTCGTTCTACACTGAATGGCATCTCTTTTGTCAACCCCGATACACCATTCAGACTAGCTGACTTGCACAATGTAAAAGGATCTTATAAGCTGGATTTCCCCAATAAGCCACTTGGTAGAACTCCACATATGGACAGATCTTTAATTAATGCTACGTACAAGGGATTCATAGAGGTTATATTGCAGAATAATGACACCAGAATGCAGAGTTTTCACATGGACGGCTACGCATTTTTTGTAGTTGGGTAAGAATCATATTCGTATATATCATCTTCTCAACTGCTGGTAATTTGTTCTACTTTTAAACAACTCCTGATGTTTGATGTAGAATGGACTTTGGTCAGTGGACCGAAAACAGCAGAAACAACTACAATAAATGGGATGCGATTTCTCGCTGCACAACAGAGGTTTGTTTTACTAACAAAAGAACCTTTGCCTTTGTACACCACAATGTCTTTCTGTGAGGAGATTCGATTTCGTTGTTCTTTGCATTTCTCTAATTATCTTTAGTGTAGGTGTACCCTGGTGGGTGGACAGCAATCCTTGTATCTCTTGACAATGTTGGAGTGTGGAACCTGAGAGTGGAGAATCTGGATAGATGGTATCTAGGCCAAGAGACATACATGAAAATCATGAATCCTGAGGAAAACGGCGACACAGAGATGGCTCCACCTGAAAATGTTATTTATTGTGGTTCTCTTCAGAGCTTGCAGAAGTAAATCTAAAACCATGTCGTAATTTTTATATTGCTCCCGTGTTGTTGTTACTAACGAGTGCATATGATTGTAGGGAATCAAGAAGCTCTTCTGGAATGACATTGGTGAGTTGGAATCCCAAACTTCTCACTTTGGTGGTCACAATTTTAGCATCATTTTTCACTTTTCGCTGATTGTAGTGTAGGGAAGCAGATATAGGCACCTTTTGTGTATGTTGTTGGTGTTTATACCTATTTTACAGTTGTTTCTGTTCCAAGGTTTTGAAGTAAAGATTAGATATGGCAGTGTACTTGCAACATATTGCTTCTCTAATGATGAAAAATTAACATATTTTTTATTTTATTTTTCGAAACTGTCCTTAAACTCGATGATTTTACATTTGAAAAAACAATAAGAATAATCAAATTTCTTTAAAAATTTGATTTTAAAATAAAATAGGGTCGTCGTTAATTATTGAGGGTCATATATGATTGAACACCTATAAAATTATCTTTTAAAATGAAAATTTTTGAAAATTTATTTTTAAAGATAATTTTACAAAACCCACGTTTTAAAATCAGATATAGAAAAATAAACGGGTTCGAGAATCGGTACGTGTGAAGAAAAAGTTAACATCCCACATCACCCAAATTTAATACCTAATCGATTACATATTTTTTTAATAGCGAAATTTATGAGTTCAACTTACTTCAAGTTATGATCATTTATTCACATGATTTTATTTAAATGAAGTGAACTTTATTTAGAAAAAATATAAATCTCGATTAACTCCTTTCGAAATGACATAAATCACTTTTTTTAACGAAAGACAATATATCACTATTTAAAGAAATTAACGAATATTGTACCTCAACTATTTATGAAATTATCTCTTTAACCATCTAATAAAAGAATATTGGCTAAGGATTTATTAAAAGAGTAAACCGTGCAATGCAAGATAAATTGATACGTGAATGCAAACGTCAAAAAATATATAATGTTGTGCATGATTCTATAGCTTTAAATATTAAAGTTGAAGTTACCTCAGTAGTTAAAAGAATCGTTGTTGTTCTTAGAGTTTATGAGTTCGAATATCAGCGATTACAAGAGTAATTGTGTGTTCTTTGTGTCAAATAGTTGAGAGTATTTAGAACATGTAATACCCCAAAAATTTAGATAATGACCAAAATGTAAATTTTGGAAATATGATGGCCAAAGTATAAAATTTGGGAAAAAGTTTAGGGAATTAAGTGATAATTTCCTAAAAAAGAATTTTATTCCATAAATAGATGGTTTACTCTTGAGAGTGGAGTTTTATAAAAATCATATTGTTGGATTTGAAATTTAGGAAAGAAAGAGTTAAAGCCGGTAAGAAATCGGTAAATTCCGATAGAATTGGAATTTTACAAAAATTTGAAGGATGTTATAAAATGATTGGAAATATTATTTTAATATTTTATATCAGAGAAATTTGGTTTGGAAATGTGCAAATTTTCAGATTTAACCGAAACTGTGAAATTTAGTGACTAAAACGCAAGTTTTAAAAATTTCAGGGCATTTTCGTAGGTCAAAGTTAAATTAAATTATATTTGACTTTGTAATATCAGATGGCTTGGTTTTATGGTGATTTTGGAGATTCATTAAGGGTGTTTTGCTCTTATCACAATTAAATGAATAATATATTCATTTAAAGTGGAATGAAATATAAATTAAGATGACATTTCAACCAAATGTATTCATCTTCTCCTCCAAAAGCTGCGTGGGTTTCTTCAAAGGTAAGAGATCTTCAACTCATGTTTCAAGTAATTTCTTTAGGATTATGAGTATGATGAAAATAGAAAATGATTATTTGCGAAAAACGCTATCATTTGGTATTAATATTGCATGATAATATAGCTTGATTTCAAATATCCCCAAATCTGGAAATTTGGGTTTATACTATGGTTGTTGAAATTGATGATGATTATTGATGATTTTGAGGTTGTATGAATTGATGAAGAACATAAGGATGAGATTAAAGAAAAACAGTTAGATTTTGGTAATTACAGTAGGTTCGAAAATTCACCAGAAAATATATAAAAATAATTTGGAGATATTGTGTTCTTATATGGATCTAGTTTTGTTTAAAACAAACGTGGATCAATTTCAAGTTGTATACAAATATATATGAATTTTTAACTGAGGAAAGATCAGAAAAGTCGTACAGCAGAATTCTGTACAAAACAGATTCTGTTGGTGAACTTTGAAAATTCACCATAAATTGTACAGAATGAATTAGAAGGAGTTCTTTATATGTATAGATTCATATTCGAGTCTAGTTGTCAATGGAAAAAACGGAATTAAATTCCAGTGTGTATATAAATACAGTTTAATGATTCTTTAAAGGTAGTACGAGTTGTCTGAATGCTGGAAATTGTTGTTTGAGAATTGAAATGAGTGTTAGATGTGAAATTGATTATTTTGGGAAGATTGAAATGATTGGTGATTTAAGTACAACAATTGCATAGTTGGGGTACTTAAATGTATTTATGTATTTGTAAAAGCATTTGAATAGAAATAATTTCAATGTTGGAATTTTTGGTTTTAAGAATTTAAGTGGTAAAATGGTGAAGACCATTTTGAGTAAATGGGAAAAGTGGGTTCCAATGTTAAAGGAATTAATAAGTATTGAATTATTTGGTGGAAATGAGTTTGAAGTATGCTATGGAATTATTTTGGGATATGGTTATGTTAGTACAATACTAACATATGTATTATTATAAATTTGTGATTTATACAGATCATGGTTGATTTGCAATTGAAGCAAGTCAAGTATAAAAAGGGTATATTGTGGACAATATTGAGCCTCATATATTTTGAAAGACATAAAGTGTCAAGGCGAGTGCAATACATGCATGAAATTATACATGGATGTTTTATACATCATAAGGAAGACTTGCGATAAGTCGACCTTGTTTATATCGGCATGATTTTATATCATTTTTATAAATTGACATTGATATGTCAGAGTATGAAACTAAAATGCATTGATCATGAAAAATGTGATATTTTACCATGAATGTTTTCGGGTATGAACTGCCCAATGTTAAATATTGATGATATACTTTTCCATGGATGGATCGAATAAAATAGACTATATGCCCAAAGTAAGTCATTGAGGGACATGGTATAGTTGGCATGCCATAGAGTATAGCAGCTGCAGGTTTATATTAGCACTATAGAGTGTAAGGACAGTAAGTGCAGGTTTATATCTGGATTAGCACTATAGCGTAAGCTTAGTGTAGGTGGTGGGCACGACCTTATGTGTATTGTCCGAATTAGCGTTATGACGTAAGCTTAGTGCATGTTTAGCACTACGGTGCAGGTATTTTACTCGTATACCCAGGGTCCTCAGGGTGTTATATTGGGCTATTGTCTACGGTTTATTGACTATGGATTATGTTTTATTGGTTAATAATGGTAACCATGCAAATAAGCTTATGAGCTTACGGAATAATGGCAAGTATATTGAAAAAAATAATAATAATAAGCTTATGAGCTTATGGAATTTAAATGGTAAGTATTTTGGTAAAAATAAGCTTATGAGCTTATGGGATGAAAGTTAAAAGATTTTATATTATTTTGATCATGGTAAAATATTGGATATGTTAGTAAAATGATTTTATGGAAATTTGATATTTGATATTGAAAATCTTGTATGAATTGTATTGCACTGTTAAATGTTTTAATTGGCTCACTAAGTTTATACTTAGCGTGTGATGATTTTCACGCGTAGGTAAAAAGCAAAGAATAAGAATAAAGAGTTCAGAACGACATCAAACATCAAGAGGTATATTTCAATATCAGTAAGACATCCTATTGTGAAATTTGATTTTAGATAGTGGCATGTAATTTGAAAATGTTCAATTTATTTGTTGAATTAATTTTGGAAAATTTTCTAGTGATGAAAGGTTAATTTTTATGAATTTATATGTAAATTTTCGGAATTTACTGTAGTAGTTACTGTAGCATGAACAACAACCACGAATTATGAAAATTTTTCCACAATACATTTGGGGTACCGATTCCCCTGCTACAGGGAATCGATTCCCCCACTGTTCACTTTTCACTATTCGAGTACTATTCACTATTCATACTTAAAAATATTTTGAATTAAATTATTATAATGAAACGTAATTTTATATGATATGATATTTTTATAATATCATTTACTATTTTAAGAAAATAAATTTTAAATTGCTTTCGAATCGTAAAATGGTTTTAGAAATTTGGATAACATCTATAATCTGTATAGGTATAATTATACGGGTTATGGCTGTTACATTTATTGGCATCAGAGCTGCAGGTTTAACCGATTCTAGGACTAAATCGAGGTCGTTTTTGAGTTAAAAAGTGTATACATGCCACTAGGATGTCAAAAGTTACTGATATTTGTATATATATTGTGATGATGTTTATTGGGAGTAAAGTTACTTTTAATAATGTATGATAATTCTGACTATGTTCAGATGTTGGAATTAAAGACAAAGGTTAGAAAGTTGAAAATGTTGAAAAGAATGTCGAGATTGAAATCGACAAAAAGGGAACATATATGACTTATATAAAACACCTTAGAAGGGTGGATGCTATAAAGGATTTTTCTCCATTTAGTGGAAGAATTGATTTAAAAGTTTGAATGGCTTACAAGAAAAGTCGAATCGGATGAGGATCCAAAGGAGATTTTTGAATCTGTGATGATTCTGAGGTTTATTCAAGTAAGCTTAAATAAGTGAGAAATATTTAAGCTAAGCATTAAATTATTTAAATCATTGATGATTTGAGTAAGAGAAATTGAGTAAGCGGTAAATATGATTTCCGCTAAAAGTTTAAAGAAAGTTGAATTATTAGGGAATCAAATGGTTATGAGTTGGATTGAGAATAAATATCAAGTCTATAAAACTTGATAGAGTTACCTTGTGAAGGTAAATATGCGAAAATGGATTGTCCAACTTTCCATGCTTCAATGAATTATTGTTTAGATTGAGATGGATTCTCAAGAACTTTAAAAGTGTCAAGTTCGTAATGATAAGAGAAGGAGTAAATTTGTTTACTAGTGTGATTTTAGCATTAATTGTTATGAAGTTATTGCTACAAATTTATCAAGTTTTCTTATTGAACGATGTGAACATTAAGATTTTCATTTGAGATGGAAAATGTTGTAAATGTTCAAGAATAATTCCTATGGATCTGGAAAAGTTA